AATTTCTAAAGACATATTCTGCTTCCCATCTTTTTCTTCTTACAAATCAGAAATTTTTCATTAAATGTTGGCCTTTTACAACATAACCCGTTAAGTAACCTTTTGTGTAATATGCATACCATGTTTCAGAAACATTTTCAATGAAATATTTAACTAAAATGTTTCATAAATATTTCAGAAACTTGTGCTTGAAATATTATGTTTGAAACGTTTGAAATATTTTTGAAACACTCCTGAAATAATGTGTGCTGTATGGGAAGACTGCCTGTAAATTTAATAAACGAAATGGAGTCACTCGATAAAGTAAATTAACCTATCTTACAAGCTTTATTTCTGTAGTAAACTCACCTCGATTTCTAAAGACATAGGGGTCTATTCTGTAACAATTCCTTTATATTTAACGGCCTTTAAAAATATTGGTGGCCTTAAAAATATTTTCGTATTCGTTAATTTACTTCTGTCATTATTTAAACAGATTTCTTTAAGATAGTCCTCTAATGTATTTTAAAGATCCGTTTAAATAATGACAGAAGTAAAGAAGAAAATATGTTTAAAGGCCGTTAAATATAAAGGAATTGTTACTGAATAGACCCCATATTCTGCTTCCTATATGACAGAACAACGTATAAATAACAAAAAATCAAATGGCAAAAAACCTCTAATTATTTAGAATATAGGGTTGTCTCTGGCTGGACCATGGCTGGACATCATAAGGATAAAATAAAATGACTACATAATCTTCTTCTTTTTCTTCTTCTTACAAATTACAAAGAATTATTTAGTAAGTGTTGGCTTTGTGTAACATTTATACCATGTTTTACAAACATTTTCAGTGAAATATTTAACAAACGAATCGTTTTAAATATTTCTGAAACATTTCTGAAATATTGTGTGCTGTATGGAATGTTACCGTTGGTAATTATTAGATTAAATCATTTATAATACACGAAAAATTTCCTAATGCTTACAATTTGATTTAACAGATTACCTTAAAATTCTACAACAATATTTTGAGTATCAGATGCGATTTTGATATAATATACCAACTTTTTTATTGTAATTAAAATATAATGAATTTACGTTTACTGTTTGTGATTTTTTTTTTACATTCAAACGGCATTGGATTTGGAACAGGGGCGGATTCTCCATTGGTTCATTTGTGCAGTGAAACCCCAGTTAAATTTCATAAAAATACATTATTTTAATATTACACAAATAACATAAAAATATAAATTTAATTTTAATATATTTATTTTCATATGTGGTAATCTATATTTTTTGGTACATCATTGTCCTCTGGCTGAGCGCGTCTCTGTGGCACAGTATACTGTGTCTGTGGCACATTATGATGAGTGAACCTGACACGAGTGAGACGATATGGCGAATGTATATAGCTAAAAAGAGAAGACAACACGCCAACAGGTCCTTCAAATTGTCAAAGAACACATTAATTGGCACGCCGCTCACAAACAAGGTTGCCAAACCAGTGTTGCCATTCTAGTACAATTCACAAATAGCTACGTTCGTTTGATCTGCCTACAGACACAGCATAATTTTGCAAATAACCATAGGAATAGAGTAAGGGTTATATTTTAATATTTTTTCATTCCATTTCTTTTATTTTGCATAATAATTATTTTTCTTTAATTATATTTGACCATAAATATGAGACACGAGAAACTGGCTGAACACTAGTTTTTTTTGGTCTTAATAGATTCGTAACATTTTTCGTTAGAAATTTGTCAGTTCTATGATCGAACTGTCACTTTTTTTTTAATAACTTGTTTTTCGGTCGTTTCCGATGATTTGATTTTTGGAAGAAGATGGCCGTTGGGATTTAGCTCCGTATTGTGTTAAATAGTGTTGAGTAATAATTAGTTTCTGAGCTTTTTGTTTTGTCCAAGGGCTCCCGTGCCAATGTTTATGTTACTTTTATTTTGGATGAACCTGGTTTTTGACCAAATTCTGAGGCAAGTGACATGCCGGGAGATACTTTCTTTCACGTGTTGCTGGATCGCGATAGCAGAGAAAACCCTCAAAAGAGGTAAGTCATTTCCTTTTGTCTGGCAATTTCAAGACGACAAATCCTTACTCACACCTTTATGCCACCGACGGTAGAGCTGCTGTGCTGTATATAACCTAAACTCTTTGTCAAAAGAAAAAAATAGGTTACAAAGTTGAATATTATTGTTGAACTTTTTAAATTGTTTATTTTACCTTATACATTTTTTTTCTACTCTTCATACAGTATTATGTGAAGAGTATTATAGGTTTACTTTGTCTGTCTGTCCGATGTCACGTTTTTTGTCAGCACGATAAGTCAAAAACGAGAAGTGATATGAACTTGAAAATTTTAAGCAAAAATCAAGCTCTATAAGGGACCAAGCCTATTGATTTTTAACAAATTTGAATAATTTTTTTTTATGTATGTATGTTCAGCGATTATTCTTTAACACGGTGTCCGATTTCAATGATTCTTTTTTTGTTAGAAAGGGGGTACTTCAGGGGTGGTCCCATATAAATTTAGTCAAAATTTAATAATTGGGTCCATGAGAAAATCCTCAAACTCTTAATTTTTTATGTATGTTTAGCGATAATGCTTTACTACCTTGTCCGATTTATATGATTCTTTTTTTGTTAGTAAGGGGGTACCTCAGGGGTGGTCCCATATAAATTTGGTTAAGATGTGGTGATGGAATCTGCACGTTTTTGAAGTCGGTTTTTTTAAATTTTTAATTATTGAACATAATTTTAACTATGTATAACATAATATCCAATAATATTTACATTATCTTATAACTAATTACAATTGATAACCTCCTCCTTTTTTGAAGTCGGTTTTTTTAAATTTTTAATTATTGAACAGTCGGTTTTTTAAATTTTTAATTATTGAACATAATTTTAACTATGTATAACATAATATCCAATATATTTACATTATCTTATAACTAATTACAATTGATAACCTCCTCCTTTTTTGAAGTCGGTTAAAAATAGGGGGTTAAGATGGGTTGAAATTAAAAAAAAATCCTAAATTAAAAACAAAAAGCAATATCAATATGAAATTTTTAGTAAAAATGAAGTTTTATAAGAAGATAAAGCCTATTGATACTGAAAAAAATATGAATATATTGGGGAGTGAAGGGGGTTATAATATAAAAAAAAAATCCTAACTGAAAAACTTGAAATTTTTAGCAAACATCAATCTCTAAAAGGAGAAGCAGCCCTTTCATTGTAAAAAAACTGAATTAATATGGGGGATTTAAATGGGGTTGAAATTAAAAAAAAATCAAAAATGAAAAGCGATATCAACATGAAATTTTTAGTAAAAATCAAGGTCTATAAGGAAATAAGGCCTATTGATTGTGAAAACAATCTGCTTTAAAATGGGGGTTAAGGGGGTCTGTTAAACTGCGAAGAGTGTCATTTAAAATGCCAGGCATTATACATATATCTTTATTCTAGTTTGTATCTGTGTAATAGTATGTATTGTGATGGGACTGATTTTATAAAATAAATATTCAAAACATTTTAATTCTTATTTTATTTGCCAATAAAATGTATTTAAAAAATATATTTTTTATTTGACATCTGTGACAAATTGTGAAAATGATTGAACTTACAATAAAAACTAAAAAATGGTAGGTAAAGTTTCATATAAAAATGTTTACACAAAAATCAATGTCAAGCCTTCTACATAACCTGATATACTCGTATGTTTAAAAATAATCTCAAATTATGAAGAAAAGTCAGTTTACTACCTAATAATGTTTATAGATGGTTTTCAATGTATTAAAAACAAAACAAATAGTACACTAAAATATTCATTTATTAATAGTTGTAGTGCTTGAAAACAGTATGATATTGATAATAATAACTACACTTAATACAAACTTAAATAATAAAAAAAACAGCGATATTTGCTCTTGTACAAAGTTTTGAACTGAACTTACAAATGATAAAATTGTTGGAAACAGTAAACACCTATTTTAAATTACCACAAGCCAACACTGATTTGGAAATCATCAATTTAACAGTTATCAATGATATTATTATCAAAGAACTAATGAAATTTAAAAAATTAGTATACTTAAACACCTGTCAGCCTTAACGAATGAATAATATTTTCAAAATATTGTGCAGTATTCTATTTTTTTATTGTATGTCGTTTTTACAAAAAATTCGAGGCTCTACATATATCCTGTAATGTATTATATTCCTAATCATAAAATATTGTTAAAAAAAAATTGTTGCACCAATCATTCAAGTTTCAATTATGTTATATATATTCCTCGACCAATGTGAATATAAATACAAATAAAAAAAAGAAAAATTAAAATTTATAAAAATATTTGTTTATTTGTTTCTATTCCGAGTTTCATTTTATTATTACTACCCTTATCCCCCCATAAAAGTAATGGCAGGGAGGGTCGATATACAAATAAAAAAGATTATGCAACAAAAGCAACACTGTTTTAAAATAAATAAACAAAATATACGTAAAAAAATCGTAATTTTATTGACGCCAATCAAGCCCGAAGCCATTAAATTCGGCCGTAATTTCTTTACTTCAATTCCAAAAACCAGCAAAAACTAACACTAACCAAAAACGAAAATAAACAAAGAGAGAAGGAAACTAAACTAAGAAGTCTGGCGTCTCTATACGAAGCATAATAATAAACCTTTTTTTATTCGAAAATGCCATTAAATCACGCAATATACATTTCAATATATCCGTTTTTATTACCAATTTTATTATTCCATCGCCATTGCTCGAAATAACTATTACTTTTTTTAATCTGGCATAAAAGCTCGAGCAACAGCGACGCTTTATTCTTTATAATCTTCCAGAGTCGCAGCGTCCTTCTCTAGCCAACGTAAAAGCCAAATAAAAGCTTTCGAAGCTTTTCCGCCGCGGTGGGGGTAAGTGGGGGTGTAGACCGGTCGGTGGAAGGGGCAGTGGACATCGAGTTGGCGATAGTTGGGTCAATCTTCGGGAATTTATGAAGTTTCAGTCTTGATTTGATACGAGTCTAGTGTTGGTCACATGATAAAGCTTAGTATCGTTATCAGTGTTTTTATTTAACGTGTGTTTTTGAGGAATGAAAAATAACATCAGTTGGATTACTTCTAACTTTTTAAGGTATGGAACATTTATTGTTATTATCGTTTTATTTTAATTTATTCGACAGTTTATTGAAATTATTTTGTTTTTCTTTTATAAAATTGTCTTTTAGTATATTTACTTTTGTTGGTAGATATTTTTAATTGTGCCACAAATTTAGCAAATACTTTCGAATTGTTTTTGTTTTGTTTATGATAGTAGTTGATGTTGATGTTTGTTACATAAACATTAAATAATTGGGGGTAATTACTAACCTAAACCTAAAAATAACAAGATTTTGGAAAATAAATTGTATGTTACTAAATATTTGCATAATTTGTTACACAATTTTATAAGAGTTTTCATGGAGTTATTATTAGATTTGATGGAAATATACTGTGGGTGTTTTTCTACCAGAAAAAGGTTGAAGCAAGTTCTGTTTTTATTTTGATTTAACTTAAATATTGTATGATTGTACACCTACATTTTACAAAATTTTAGTATAGATACTAATGAACTATTTTTGCGGATAAATTTAATATTTAAAAAGATTATATCACACCAAGATATTTCTTGGATTCCAGGAATATTCAGGTTTGTTTTGGCAAAGAAACCCCTACAAGTATGATAAAGGGTTTAGATTAAGAACAGCTAATACAGATAAATAAGGAAAGGTGAAAGGGTGGGTAATTCGTGGTAATTAACCCTCTGGTTCTAAAGGATTAACCTTTTGGTTCTAAAGTATGACTTAACCTTCATTTCTGACAAATTTATTTATAATATTTACTCTTAAAAATGTAATTTATGGCTTTGATACTTATTAAAGTCAACCATCCCACTTGACAAATTATTAATTTTCAACTTCCTTTCGGATAATATAATTGTACAATCTTTAAAAAATAAAAAAATGGATTTCGACATATTCATTGACTTATTTGATTCTAATTGTCCCCTTTAGATCTAGAAGAAAATATTTGTTATTACAAATAAGGTTAGACGGGGTTATCGGTACTTAAAAATGTGGGTTATTACTTAAAGATTTAAAAAATAAGCATTGAACTTTTGATTATGGTATGATGTAAACAAATGTTAAGCTAGTGTCTTATAAATGGTTTTAAATATACATTTTTAGTATTTTAAATTTGAGCTAAAATATGAAATATTTGGAAAATTAAATGAAGATGCGTTACGTTATCGTAACCTTTATTTCGTTCCATATTTTTGGGTGATCTACTGAACTTTTTTTATTTTTCTCTTAACCATTTCTTCCGTTTTTCTTTTGTTATTAATCCTTTTTGTGCCGCTTTTCTCTCTCTTTATTTTATCGTTGTTTATATGCTATAATTTAGCATCGCAGTTATCAAATGTTTTATTTACTTTTGCGATCAATATGGAAACTTTTTATTTTAGAAAATAAACGCCTAAATTAAGCACTCTATGCAGTGGCGTAGATAGCTTTTTGCGACGGGGGTGGATATGACTTCGAAAATTTCATGTATACATAGATAAAGCAGTGGCGCAGCCAAATTTTTGTATTAGGAGGGATTTAAAAAAAATTATTTAATAAATATAAGGTGTTCCTAAATATCATGTCATAATTGAAGGATGTGACTCCTTGGCTCGTAATATGACTTAAAGTTCATATAAACATGTGTCCTAAATTGCCTTGTTTCGAAGATACAGGGTGTTTCAAAAATAATCAGTTTTTCATCAATATTATAAATACTCTTTTGTCAATTTTGATGAAATTTGGTACATTTGTTTGTTTGAGTAAGAGGCTGATTTAGATCGAAATTATCAATTCCAGTGTAGTACCCAAAGAGAACCTTATTGATATTTTTGATGAATATTAATTAAGTTGCCTTTGGGGACGCCACTGGTATTAATAATTTAGATATAACTGGGTCAAAATTAGTCTCTTACTACAACAAATGAACCTGCCGAGTTTCATCAAAATCGGTCAAAGATTGTTTATGATATGAATGAAAAATTGATTATTTTTAAAAATTTGAACACCCTGTATATTTGAAACAAAGAAATTTAGGACACATGTATATATAAACTTTTAGTCATAATTTGTACCAAGGAATTACCTCCTTCATGACACGATGATTAGAAACTTTTTTAATTATAAAATCGTCTGGGTCTGGGGGGTTTAACCCATAGCCTCCCTCGCTGCGCCACTGATATAAAGAGCATTTTATTTAATACACTTCCAGTTTTTGTAGACTTATTGATCCCCTTATCCCCCCTCCATCTACGCCGCTGACTCTGGCCTTTATTTTAGTGGATTTTTCCATATTTTTATTTCCACGCCATCTTCGGACTTTTAAGGTCCCTACTCTCACTAAATTTTGACGTATAAAGTGATATATTTTTGTAATCGCAGTAAGTGTCAAAAAATAATCTACTTTACGTAACCAGTTGCATAATGTTGAACATTATGAAATTCATTGTCACCAGTTGCAAGAAGAAAAGAAATAAGAACGTTTTTTTGGTTTTAAAATCAATATATACATGATTAAAAGGTTATATCAAAGAAAGGCAGGTTAACTTATAAATAAAGAATTTGATTAAACTTACATCCCAGTAATAATGTTGTTTTGGTCATGATTTTCTATTCTAAATCAGCACAAAATAATTAAAACCCAATACGCGACAAAATGACTTACTTTCTTAAAAACTAAATAACTTTTTTAACAATCAATGTAAACACACTACAAGTCGTTGAAAATATATTAATACGTTTTTCTATTTGTCAATAAAATGAATGACGTTACGCATATGCAACTGACAATACAAGAAAGTAATATTGGTTGCCTAGATCTCAGTAATATTTTAACAAAACACATTTTTATGTAACACGTTGCAAAATACCCTTTTATGTAACTCGTTTATATTGCGGGACCTCGCTCTGCTCGTCCGCACATATTCACTCGTTACATAAAATAAGATATTTCGTAACTGGTTGTATAAATATCTATTAAAATATTTAATTGGTTCGTTTATTTTGGCATGTGGGGTGCGTTTTAATATATTTTTAAATGGTCTCTCATTCAACCCTTTCAATTCGTATTTTGCCATTGCAGATTTTGATTTTAATGTGAGATGAGAGGAGGAGTTTCTTATGAAATGACTTCTACATGCGTGCAAGGTGGAATTCGACCATTGGGAGGGTACCAACCCAATATGTTGATGGAACCATCATCACCCACATCAGCATGGCAATACCAAACAATAATTCCTGTAAGTATTATTTTTTATAATTAAATTAATATTTTTTAATCTGTTTATGAATATCACGGTAGTAAAAGAAATAAAATTTCTAGACATTCAAAATAAACAAACGTTATTTTTTATTGATGTTTGAGTTTCGGAATATTTTGTAATAAAAAAATGTCGATTAAAAATGTTATAATAAGATCGTGTTTGTTTTTTTAAATGATTTAGAAATAATAGTAAATTTCTAAAAAAAAACACGTGTCATAATCTTTAAATCATTTATGACATTCTTATTTTATTATTAAAATAAAAATAGAAAATATTTATCCAAAAAGGAAATAACATAATTCTTATTTTTGTAATGTCTTTGATAAGAGTCGTCCAATTAGATCAGATTAACAAACTAGACCATTTTTTATTTACTATTTTAAACATTGTTGATATATTATTTCATATTTTGACATTTTTTCCTAATTTAATAACGTCAGATCAGCAGACTTTGAACCAATAACAACCGCTATTCAAATTCATGTTGTAAATATTTTATGTTTATTTTAATTTCGTAATTTATTTTTTAAAAAAGTAGCAACAATTTTATTATTGATATTTTAACATTTTTTTTTTTACTTAAATCCTTCATAGAAACCGTTATAATTGCAAAAAAATAGGGGGTGGATGGCTCAGTTGTAAGAGTCTGGACTGAATCCAGTATCCGCGGTTCAAAACCCACTGTTGGTCGTGATTTTTTTAATTAATTAATTTAAAAATAATTATGATACATAGACAGGATCCCCCACTCAGACTATTCACCGGTGGGTTATATTTCTAAAGCGGCGCTGGGAAACAGTAACAAACTGTAGGCATGTAGGAGTACTAGCACTCCTACACTATGGAGTATTAGAATACATGCATAACACGATGCTAAGGGCCTAAGTTGACACCAATAAAAATATGTTTAAAATCTACTAATATACAGGGTGTTTCAGATTTAAACGGACACAGCTTAATGGGAGGTAGAGTACACTTAGTTCAAAACACCCCTATATTTAACCTTTAATCTTACTCGTTTCTGAGATATAGGGTGTTTTATGATTTTTGGCCAAAACTAAAATCAGCCATTTTGTTTGAACGGCAAAAAGAGAGTCTGATCCTGGAATTTTTTAAAATTAAATTATGGTTTTGATTAACTTAAGAAAGTGTAACTTCTGTACAAAATTTTATCAAAATAACTCTAGCCGTTCAAACAAAATGTCCGAATTTAGTTTTGGCAAAAAATCATAAAACACCCTATATCTCAGAAACGGGTAAGATTAAAGGCTAAGTATAGGGGTGTTTTGAACTCTACCTCCCATTAAGCTGTGTCCATTTAAATCTGAAACACCCTGTATGTATGCACTCCCGTTGTCGGACATTTAGCCACTCTGTTCAAATAAAGCCAGGATATTATGTTTCCTAATCGCCTATTTTTGTGGCACATTTTTGTGGTCGTTTTTTCTTCTTTTAAAAGAACAAAATGTAAACAAACACGCCGCATTACATGATTGTTGAACTATTTTTAAAGTTTAAACGCTGCATTCATCATCTCTGATGTAGCGATCTTTCAAATTTCACGGAACAGTTAAGCGTTTGATGTCAAAACAAAGCAAAACAAGTCATAAAGTTTTTTAAACGGAATGTGTGGGTTCCTAGACGCAACTTATGTTTTTTCCGACGAATCTTAATTTATATTTTTTTTATTATTTAAAAATATGTCTTCTATTGTGACACGCGCTTCTTTTTGTTACAGAAACGCGAACCCATCGATCCTGAAGAGCGCAACGACTCTGGATTGGTCTCTGGCAGCGATTTTGTATCTTCGTCCCCGGGTAGCGACCAAAGCGAAAACTTTAACCTTACATTTTCATCCCCCAACACCAACCAAGTCATCGCTTCAAACTCCAACCCTTTCTATTCTACACCTATAATGAGGCCACCTCAGCAGAATGTTATAAACCATCCCTGCTATCCAGGAGATCACCATCCATTAACGCCTCCAAGTTTCGAGACCGTGCCATCACCGAAAGGGAACAGGGTTGAACATCAGACTACACTGACACCATGCGCATCTCCAGGTGAAAATTCCCATCATAACGATACTAGTAATAGTGAAGATGCTTTAAAGAAACTACAAGCTTCTTTAGAAAGAAGGGGTATTCTACCTCTAGCTTTATCACCGAAATTCAGCGAAGGCTCTGTAGATGACGACAATAATTCGGACAAAGACATGGATGAGTTCGACGAGCAAGGTCTTCGAATTCCGAAAGTCAACTCTCACGGAAAAATCAAAACATTCAAGTGCAAACAATGCGATTTTATTGCCGTCACAAAGCTAGTTTTCTGGGAACATACCAAAGTCCATATTAAAGCCGACAAGCTTTTAACCTGTCCCAAATGTCCGTTTGTTACTGAATACAAACATCATCTAGAATATCATCTTCGAAATCATTTCGGTTCCAAACCGTTCAAGTGTACCCAGTGCAGTTACTCTTGTGTTAATAAATCAATGCTGAATTCGCATTTAAAATCACATTCAAATATATACCAGTATCGTTGTTCAGATTGCAGCTATGCCACCAAATATTGCCATTCCTTAAAACTTCATCTTCGCAAATATGGCCACAAACCAGCAATGGTTCTTAACCCCGATGGTACACCTAATCCACTACCCATTATTGACGTTTACGGTACCAGACGTGGACCTAAAGTGAAATGCCATTCAGAGTCCAAATCTACAGATGAAGGTTCTCCAAAACCTGAGCAAATGCTACCTTTTGCTTTGAACCAGTTCATGCCTCAGATGCAGTTACCTTTTACTGGATTTCCATTCTTCGCTGGATTTCCAGGTGGTTATCCTAATCCTCTTCTGTTTCAAAACTTGGAGAAACTTGCCAGGGAGAGGCAGGAATCTGTACATTCGCCTGAGCAGTATTCTTCAGAACCTGCGGATACTGATGGTGGAGCCTTAGATTTGAGTAAACCTGAGGAACCTTCGAAAAATCGACGCAAAGGTACCGCTTACAAGTTGTCTTCTAATGGTGAACAATCTTCCGATGAGGACGACGATGAGGCCACCACAACAATGTTTGGAAACGTTGAAGTTGTTGAAAATAAAATGGAAGAATCCTCGTCTGAGAAAGAAGATGTCGCTTGTAGTGATACGAAGGACGATTTTAATTGTCAATACTGTAAAATTAATTTTGGTGAACCAATTTTGTATACCATGCATATGGGTTACCATGGTTACAAGAATCCTTTTACTTGTAATATGTGCGGTGAGGAATGCAAGGATAAAGTATCATTTTTCTTGCACATTGCTCGTACGCCTCATTCTTAGTGAATACGTTTAAAGACTGATTTCAGAATTCGTATTTTCAAAATTATTTTAAATAATATTTATTTAGCAACTTTTTTATATATTTGTGTAACTTCAAAAATTGTTAATTTCTTTTGTCTTTATTCAAAATTGAAATGCGAATTCTGGAAAGTGAAAAATATGAATATTTTAGATTAGCATCTAGTCAGACAGATTTTTTTATTTTGTACGTACGTGCAATTTATTTCTAGTTTTGCAATTTTCGGAAATATACGGGTATCGAAAAAAGAGCAACTGGTGCCATATTATGTAAATTATGATTTTTAAATGCGTTTTTTATTGTTTGTAAATTATCTTACAACAGCTATAAATCCAAAAAATAATATTGTTTGTGAACTATGATAGTGTGTAAATTTTGTAAATGTTTTGATACGATATTCGAATAAATAAAAAACATAGTACGTCGAATTATATAATATTTATATTTTGTATAAAAATTTCGGGGCCACAACCATTTAAGACTGATGTGTAAATATTTTTTTTGTCTTTTTTTATTAGTATTAGCTGGAGCAACTGATCAAAAATTATGTATTATATAATATGGGTATTATAGCTGAATGCAGTTTGAACCAAATAAAGATTAAATTATGTTTTGAATGAATACATTTTGTTTTATTTATTTTTATATGTATTCTGATCTAACAAGTGTTGGAATTTTTTTCTGATTATTATTAATAATAAAGAACCGCCAATAAAACTATTCAAACAGAAAGAAAATCTAGTGAATTTAAAGATTTGTAATTGATCTAGATATATAAAACCTCAAAAAAATATATGAAAAATCTTAAAAATATTAAACTTTTTGAAAATTATTTATATGTTCAACGTTCTTCTTTTCTCTTGATAAACATAATATGATATAAACATAACATAAGATGATATGAAAGTTACGTCGAGGCTGGTATGAGTAAAACTATTTTGGGTGCCAGGTCACAAAGGGATCGAAGGCTGACGAACTTGCAAAAAGAGGGTCAGAAGAAACACCGGAAGCAGACACAAACCCAGGAGTACCAAAAAGTACAGTCCCTGGTTTTATAAATGACTGGATTCGGGAACAACATATCAACTATTGGGGAAGCACCCCAAAACAGGCACATGGAAAAGCCTTCATAGGCAAACCATGTCCCAAAAGAACTGGAGAACTACTCTTAATGAATAGGAACCAGTTGGAAGTGATAACAGGGTTCATGACTGGGCACGCCCCAGTAAAGAGACACTTGAACAAAATTGGCATGTACAATGGGGAACTCATGTGCGGACTATGTCACAAGAAACCAGAAACGGCCAAACACATACTGTGCGAATGCCAAGCTCTAGATCGCAAAAGACAGGCTCTTTTTGGACAACCCCAGGTTGATCCAACAACGTATAGAACCCACTCACCCAAGGATCTGTACAAACTTGTACAAGGTACAAAGGTGATAGAGTGGGTGCTATGAACTAACATGGGGTAAAACACAATAAGCCAATAGGCTTCAGTGTTATTCGGAGACACATAGTCAGACGAGCCCAGGAAAAAAATATATGATATGGTATATTTTGTTCAAACTTAATTTAATGACGCAGTTTTTTTTTGTCAATATCAGTGTTTGATAGTTAGAAATTGTTTTGGAAAATAATGACGCCGGGGTTTTAAATTTTTTTGAAAGGGATTATCATGTTTGTGGATTTAGATTAGGGGGGTTATGTACCCCCTCCCCCAAGGTTAAAATTCTTATAATACATGAGCATTTATTTAGGGTGACTACGTATAAGGTTATACATTATAAATTGCACACCCCTTATCATTGTTATTACCTATAGAAAAAAAAGTTGTGTGGATATGTCCGAATTTGTTAAAATGCCATTAAAAATACAGTAGCAGTGCTTATAAACTTAGATTACAGGACAGAGATTTCATATTTTGGGTAACAGTTTTTCATAAAGTCATGCTACATGTCGAAATAATTTTTAAGCAACTGCAGACGATTAATACCGACCCTATCAAGGCTAAACAAGATCTAAAAAACTTTGAAAATGCAATGCAAAAAATTCGTAATGAAATGGATAAAATTATTGACAAAATAGACTCGGAGCTTTTAGAAACCGAAGACGAACTTGTTCCTCAGAAAAGGCAACGTTATCCTCGTTCCGATCTATATGTTTCAACAAATAGAAAAATAGAAGCCTTGGAAGTTTACGATTCCATTATACAACAGGATAGAACCTTTTCGCTAATAAAATAGAACGAAGTCTATGTTATTTATTATTTTTTAACGGGCTAGGCACCCGAAAATGTTAATTCGTGGCCCCACCTATGTGCTAAGTTACAAGCCGCCACTGCCAAAAATTAAATAATATATAGGCTACCCCATTAAAAAAAAATATTTTTCGTATCCCATAAAATCTGCACGCTACTGTATTTTTAATAGCATTTTGACAAAATTCGGTCATAACCACATAACTTTTATTCAAAACTTTTTTTCTATGGGCAATAATATCGATGATAAAACAATCATCCGATGAACAACGTATTTTTTTGAGCCGGGTATGGGCGCATTAAATTGGTCGCTAACGTAATCATTATTACTATTATCATCGTTAAACGTAATCAAATATTACCTTTAAATACGATTTATTCAAGTTTGAAAATACAATACTGCAAAACCAATATGTTTACATAATTTGACACTGCAAATAAATTAATATTAAACTGAATCACATACATTTGTCAATTTTAACGAAAGAAAATGTGCAGTAACTACTATACAACGCGTTGGGAATCCTCACTGTCATTAATACTACTGTTTTTGTACGTACTAGTGACAAGTGTTATAGTTCTAAGTAAGGCTGTCAATTCCTGACGTGATAAATGGTTAACCGGTTCGACTAAATTTGACCGGTTTCGGTTTTAACCAGATTTTTACTATTATTATAACCCGTCCGGATATCCAGTTAACCGGTCCGTATATCTGGTTAACCGTTCCGAATATCCGGTTAACCAGTCCGATTATCTGATTAACCTGTCCGATTATCCGGTCAACCTGTCAGATTATCCCGTTAACCGGTCATATTATCCGGTTAACCAATCCGATTATCCTGTTAACCGGTCCGATCAAATCGATTCGGCGGTTTAACCGTAACCGTGACCAGTTAAACCCGTCACTGTAACCATCACCGGTTTAATCGTGGCCTATTTTGGATAACTGTGATGTTAATTTATTAAAAAATAATATTTTTCTCAGTTTTGCGTTGTTTTATTATTACATTTGGAATGTTTATATTTGTTTGTATTTTTTTATAAAATTTTGTTTCACTTACTTTTAAATGAATAAGTTTTAATAACATCGATGTATATAAATATAGTTTTTTTCACTTTGGTCATTTTAATGCCATCGATACTTTGTTTTTGGTATATCATTCGATGTCAGTATCGACGTTTTAAGAAATATGCGCATCCCTACTAAGAGCTCAAACTATACTTGTTCGTTTACGTTCACAGTCTCGCTAAAATTCGTTTAGAGTACGGTTAAACCAGTTACGGCTCAACAAGTGGCAGGTTTAACCGGTTCGATTAGAGTTATACCGGTTGCGGTTAAACCGGTTACGATTAAACCAGTTATAAACCGGTTACGGTTAAACCGGTTACGTACTTTAACGGTTTTTTGCCCTACGGAACTAGTTTCCCGGTTAACCGGTCACGGTTACCAGTCTTAGTTCTAAGGCCAGGATTATAGTGAATCGGCGAGCAGAGCGGTGAGCAAAGCTATTTATGCAGTGAATAAATAGTTCGGCCGCGTGTAAGGCCGCGTGTTAAACCGCGCTGGTCACACCTTCCAAAACAAACATGTAAAACGCATTACTGTAAAACGCATTACTATAAACGCATGCATTTATTCTTATTGGTTTGAATAAAAAGCTATGCTCGCCGCTTCATTATAATCCGGCACTAAGAAAGCACGCGTTGCAAAACAAATAATGAAATAATATAAAAAAATGTATGGATTTAAATATCTATTCTTGTTAAAAGTACTTTTCTTTTTAAATCATATTATTTAATAATATTAACATTATTATATATCTAAAATTTGGCGGCAACATTTAAGAATTTCGTGGTACTCGAAAGAGCTGGCAAAAAATAAACGTTCCACATTCTGTAGTTAGATTAGTATCTGTACATATTATTAAAGTACCGTATAATTTCTATCTTTGGGTGGTATTTTTATTCTAGTGAAAGGTCAAGAAACTGGAATAGTTTTTCATAATTAATAAACAAAATCAATATATAATTAACTAATTTCAGATTAGATTCGAAATTTTCCACACTGTTTTTCAAACAAACATTTTTTTAAAACGTCGCCGAAAACTAGATCACGAAACTTATAAATAAAATCAAATGGTTAACGAATTATATACAAAAGTTATGCAATTTTCGAATGAAATAAAAATACTATTAATGCTATTTTTTATATCTCAAACTGCTTGTGTCTTGAAAAGTATAATTAGATTGAATATGTATAGTTATTTTTTTAACTACGACGACTAGGGAAATCAGAAATAAACACTCCATCTACAGGGGCAGTAACTAGCTTATTATGCTTGGTATAGGGTTGTTGTCTTGTGAAGTTGTGTTTCTGTATGTATGCCCTTTATATTATACAGGGTGTTTCGTATAAGTACCGAAACAGAACAGGTGCATATTGAGCACCCCAAAATATGATGATTTAACACGCAATTTACCTCTACTAAGTTGTACACCTAAAGAGTTACGGAGGCCTATAAATTTAGAAAAAACCTAATATATCTGCAATCGTTTAACTTAAAAAATATATTTGAAAAAGGGTAATTTCATGACCGTTAAAAGTTCACTGGTTGATTCAGTCGTTTTTATTGTTTTTATAAAATTCAAGTACAGGCACTACATTGTTTCGGAAACACAGTGCCAGTCAATATTTAATAAAATATGGGGACGATTAAAATGTTTGTAATTGTAATTTTAATTATTTTTTAAAAGTAATTTTTAGATATTTCTCAATATATGTTTTAAAAATTCTTATTTTTTTAATGTAAACTTTAAGTACACATAAAAACTATTAAGGATAGGAAAAATTGTTCTTTGCATAAATAATAATGTTCTTTATTATATTAATCTCTTCCATTCCAATCTTAATTAAAAAAAGTCAATGTCAAGAAAATCGACTTATATTTTATTAAAAAATGATTTCGTTAACTAAAGATTTATTTTGACCGCTTATTTTCGAAATCAAACTAATGCGATATTAGTAGTATAAATAGTGTTAAATCAATAAAACATTACAAAATAATAGTTGTAGTTTTTACCTTAATGGAAACGTTCATTTAATTTCCTCTATTTACAAAATAATAACAATAACAAACAAATTTAATACAAACTAAAAACTTCCTCTATAGGAAATATTATGCGAATATTTAAGGTAATGATTTATTTAGGTATAATTTTTTTTGACTCATAATTAGTAATTTTTTAATGGGTTTTTTAAATGCTTTTTCGTTATATACAGGGTATTATAACTACTGGGGCATAAAGTAAGCACAAATTATTTGGACAAAAATTTGAGAATTAAAATGAACATGCCTTAATAA